GAAACAGAGCAGATAAATTCTAAAACGCAGGCTTTATGTTTTAGTTTGGACAACTGGACAAGCCTCTGGAAGACTGTGTCGTACTGTAAAGCTGATCATACACAGTCAAGGGCTGTGATGAAAATTACACTCCATGCTTACCATTTTTATAAGGCTTATAGGGTGTGACTGATGTGTGATGATGAATTTTCCAAGAACTTGGTTAGGCTAATTTATTCCTGTCCGTGTGTGAAATGTATGATTTTGAGAACAATTTCACCATGTATTAATATCAAAGCCAAGAATCTATGAAATAACCCAGGTTTCAAAAGTTTAACTCTGCTTTAAGCTGACCATGTTTAAGCTTTTAATCACTACAGTATTTTATATCCTAAGGTTAAATATGTCTCCAATTTCAAATTTTTATATGTGATACCACTGAGGTGATCCATCCATTAGTTACAGTATAACTGCTTATCCTTTCGGAGGGCCGTGGGATCCCAGCTGATATTGGGGGTATACGCTATAAGTTGGCAGTCAATCACAGGTAGAGGCAATGTAGAGTCACCAGTTATCCTAACCTGCATGTGTTTGGACCATGTACCTGCAGATAACCCACACAGGCATGGGGAGAACATCTCCACAGCCCCGGCCGGCCAGCGACCTTGAACCCAGATCCTTCTTGCTGGGAGGCGACGGTGCTGGCGCACCGCCAAGCTGATCAGAGTATCATATCAGATGCCAGAAAGTCCTGCAGATTCTCTTCTCGTGGAAAAACTATTTATCTATTTTAATCTATTTTAATTCTATTTTAATAGTAATGACTCTTCCACAAGCTTTAATGAGTCTGTTATTCCTTTTGTACTGTGGTCTGGTAAAAAGCATTCATGTGTTCAGTAAGAACTGGTTGTAAGTTGGCTTGATACCACTCACTTGATCCATCCATTAGCTACAGTATAACTGCTTATTCTTTTGGAGGGTTGTGGGGTCTCAGCTAACATTGGGGGTATATCCTGGACAGATCAGCAATCAATCACAGGACTGAATGGTTTATACTATAATAATGTGCAGTAGTTAAAGCTCTGTGGCTGCAGACCAAATTTTCTCTCCAAGGCCATATATATGTGTGTGTTTGTGTGTGTGTGTGTGTGTGTGTGTGTGTATATATACATATATGTCTTTGTACATTTATACACTGATCAGCCATAACATTGTGAGCACTGACAGTAAAGTGAATAACACTGATTATCTGGTTATCATGGCAGCTGTCAGTGGGTGGGATATATTAGGCAGCAAGGTTGATGTGTTAGAAGCAGCAAAAATGGACAGTGTGAGGATTTGAGTGACTTTGACAAGGGCCAAATTGTGAGGGCTAGACGACTGGGTCAGAGCATCTCCAAACCTGGAGCTCTTGTGGGGTGTTCCCGGTCTGCAGAAAAGTGCTCCAAGGAAGGGAAAGAACCGGAGACAGGGTCATGGGTGGCCAAGGCTCATTAATGAACGTGGGGAGTGAAGGCTGGCCTCTGTGGTCCGATCCAACAGACGAGCTACTGTAGCTCAAACTGCTGAAACAGTTAATGCTGGTTCTGATAGAAAGGGGTCAGAACACACTACTGTAGAACCATGGTGGTTTAGCATGGTGGACTCCGCCAGGAGGACCTGCTCCTTTGTCATTCTAAGGTAACAAAAACACAACAGTTCTTATTTTCAGGTAATTATACACTAATGAAAACATACATCACACAACTATACATAAATGAGAATGCATGTTCTGTGTAGGTGGAAGGCAGAGGTAATGAGTACCTCTAAACATGCTGAAAGAAGACTCACAGCAGCCTGTCAGTCTTGTACTGTATGCACTGCAAGAGTTAGTACTGTTGTGTCAACTGAATGCTAACATTGAGTTAAAACTGAAAAGAGGCAGAAGAGCTACACACCCGGCTGCTGCAGCCTCTTTAACCCTCTTTAAATTCGTGATTGTTCTGCCTGTGAACCGCAGCCTACCAGTAAGACCGGCTGGTCTTACATAACGTTAGAAGACTGAACATAAGGATATTAAGATCAGACCCAGGCAAGTAGGTTAACAGTGCTGCTCTCCCATGACTTTGTAAGAATGGGAACTAATTCACTGAGGCTTTCACAGAAAAAAAACTCTAAAAGCTGATGTACATTCCTGGTCAGAGCTACGGCATACAGAGGCTCCATAAGCTACAGCAGCACTTTTCACTCATGAGACAAGAGAAGTTGGAGTAGAGAGGGGGAAGGGTTGTTGTCCTCTCTGGAAAAGTTTAAAGGGAAGGAAATAATGTACAGTAGCAAACTATCCCAGCCGAGCAGTTAATAAAAAAAAAAAAATCTGTTTTGGGCATTATATATTTTCACCCTTAAAAGGTAATTTCACGTTAACTGTATGACTTTAACTACAATAAGACTGAATAAATTATTAAATGTATATCTCAGCCTGACCGATATATCAGCCGATATTAGCTCATGGCAGATATATCGGTATCTGCATATTAGTGCTGTCAATTAAACGTGTTATTAACAGCGTTAACGCAAACGCATTTTAACGGCGTCAATTTTTTTATCGCAAGATTAATGTTCTTTTTGGCCTAGCACACTTTGTAGTTTTTTTCACATGCTATTGCAACAACTAGTAACGTTAGAAAAACTACAACACCACACCGGATCTAGCTAGACCGGAAACAAAACAACAGGCACGCCGCACACACTTGTTTAAGAGTAGTAGACGTTACGTTTTGAGTGGATGGCGAGCGCGAGACGCTGAAATGGATGCCAATAATATTCTGAATGGAAAGTTTACTTTTGAAAAGTTGCCAAATGGTCACAAGCCAAAGTGATCTGTGTGTTTTGTCGTTGTGAACTGAGCTATCATCGCAGCACGTCCAGTCTGAAATACCACTTGATGGCCAAGCACACAGCTGATGCGAATTCTCCGCCCCCTCGTCAAAGCCAGGCAATGGATGATTTTTCAATAAAAACAACATTTGCACAAAGCAAGCTGAATCCACTTTTCCATGTTGATAAAAGCATTAAAATGAGAAAAAATAATGGGACAAAAAGAAATCAAGGGACATTTAGAATAGATAAAAATGTGCGATTAATTGCGATTAATTGCGAGTTAACTATGACATTAATGCGATTAATCGCGATTAAATATTTTAATCATTTGACAGCACTACTGCATATATGTCTGCTGGTAAATAAACTGAAGTACAGAAACGCCCAAAGTATGTTTGTCAAACTCTCAAATTTCAATATCGGCATCGGCCTCAGAAATCCTGTACGAGGTTTGAGAACCAGAGGACATGTGACATTTGACCAAATTTACAGGAGAGCCAGAACACAAAATGACCATACTTTGTCATGACTTTGCTATTAAAGCTTCCTAAGCATGTTAATATACTTGAAGTACAATATTGCACTTACGCCCTTTTAGGCCCAAGTTCACACTTAGTTCATGTGAGGTCTTTTGTTTTTTGATTTCTAACTCTGGAGTGGTTAAGAATTCACAGGTCCCCCCTTGGTAGTAGAAAAAACTCATCAAGAGCTTTCATTTGATATACATAACTCATTCTTGCCCTAAATGTCACTTACACCCTTTTGGTTCTCACCCTCATATTCAGTCTCTTGAACTAGCACTAATTTCTTTAAGGAGTTCGACTTCAACTGTCACTTTCACTACATTTTATCACCTGCTTTCAAACATTTCAAGTCCTTTGAGATCAACTAAAACTTCAACAGTTTTTCAACTATTTTAAAGCTTTCAACAGCATGTACAGCTTCCACACTGACAGCACGTACATTTACTTCAGAAATTGAAACCATTTCTACCTGTAATGTGTATCTCAGCTGATAAACACTGTGCCAGCAATGATGGGGTAAATAAAGAGAAGAGCTAAACTAATAGTATTGATCATTATAGGGAAAATACTAGCTACTGTAAAAACACATGTTGTAGGTATTTATTTCTTTAATTCTATTAAATGTTAACTGTATGAGTCTGAATTTATTGTAAAAAAAAAAAAGAATTAACAGTGAATAAATATCACATAATTTAATGTGCATGTGAGGCAAACAGGAGTGGATTAAGATGGGTGGCAAGGGGTGTTAAAAAATTTTAATTAACACTAATTAACACCCTAGCAACAAGTGATGAAAACGTGTATTTGGGAAAAAACAATCTTTGGAAATAAAACAATGTACTGATTTCTAATGCCACCTTTAGATATTTCTGTCCAATGCTTTACTAATGTTTTTGAGTTCAAATATCATCATTTTGGGGCTTTTCCAAGCAAATATTGACATATGTGATTGTATGATTAGCAAACCAAACAAAAGAACTGTATTTCTGCCACCTTTTAAAGTCTCCCTGCCACCCTCTAGCCAATATTTCTCTCTATCCACCCCTGGAGACAAAATATGTTGACTCACAGTTTCTTTGTCAAAGTCAAAGTCCTTTTTTGAACTGTAACTGGAAGTCAGTCAATCATTTCTATTCGCCAAAATAACTTAAATTCAAATATTTTTCAACAGGTTTTTCTTTTCTTCTGGTTTTCACAAACTCAGTCCTTACACTGTACAAGAACATAACTAACTCTAGTGTTTCATTAATATTGTTAACTAATAGTTATTAGACAACCGTAGAATAGAAAGAAAACCTTCCTACATTTAAAATGAGTTAATAACACACAATGTAAAAACAACAACAACAAAAGAAAACATTTCAGGTGTATTCTAATCTTTTACTCCTGATGCTCCTTACTCGGAATTAATACATTACCACTGACTCAATGTGACAATCAGCTACTTGTCCCGCTTTGAAAGCTCGTTAAAGGACTGCGTAAACGCACGGAACATGTCATTAGACAGTAGTCTGAGTGGACAGGGGACAGGCTGGATGGTGACACATCCACTGAAGGGAAAGATGACTCATATGAGATAAAAAGTAGCACCTCAATAAAAACAAAGAGAAGAGAGAAGAAGGAGAAAAAGCTTACATTGCCTGCTGTCGACACAAGTGTGGCTGTCCTCCGCGCTGTCTGTCTGTCAGGATGGTGCTATCCTCCCCGGCTGCTGCATTCAGGATCAAACAGTCTGTTCCAGTCTGACTGCCGCATCTACAGCATCGCTGCACGCCGGGGCACAGCACAGCACAGCACAGCACAGCACAGCACAGCACAGCACAGTACAGTACAGTACAGCACAGCACAGCACAGCACAGTACAGCAGAGCGCAGCGGATAGGGCGGATCAGGACAGGAGGGGGGTGGATGGGGCCGGGACGATGAATACAGGAGGGACACTGAAACTACTGTACAGACCCTGCTGTCAGTGCAGGGTCACATGGGGGGGGGGGGGGGACCCTTGCTTCGTAGAAATGTGGGTTTATAATTTGCCTTTATAATCTTCATTATGGGTGACAGGTGTAGGCTTATGTTTATGTAACCAACATTTCGAGAACTTTTGAAGCATGTAGACGTATTTCTCACCAGTTCCTCTTCCAAAGTCTGTAAAGTCAACAAGTTATTATTATGGTTGTAGTTATCTATAATTTAAAATAGCACCTAAATACATTTCTGTAACACAAAATCCCTTTACTTAAAAAATAATTTAAAGTTGTATATTTATAAAGTTACATGTTTTTGTTACCTTAGAATGAGCCGTTTTTATCTACAGAGGGAGCAGGTTCTCCTGGCAGAGTCCGCCATGTTGAATTGCATTTTTTTTAGAGTAGCCTAGAATGGAAAAACAAAAAACTGGCTCAAGATAGGGTCTTTTGCATTTAGTTTCACCTTCATGCTTTGAAGGCTGAGGTGTATTCAGATGGTTGCAAGCTGTAACTTCACCACTAGATGGCACCAAATCCTACACACTGGTATTTTAAGTTGAATATTTTGGTTAAACATTAATTCTCGACTTTCATCACACACAAATAAAAATCTGTAGGCCTATTCTAGGTCCAACTTGTAGTTTTCTGGGTTTTAGCTTGATCAGTTTGCTCTGTTCGTTTGTAAAAACTCCATCCACTTTTTTGGGGTATATTTATTTATTTATTTGTTTGTTAGCATATAAAGACTTTACATTAAACAGTTTTTCTATCTGCTGTTATAGATCCTAAAATGGTTCAACATTTAAAACTAACCTTAATTTGTTTCATGGTACTTATGAACATCACCTCGTCCCAGTTTATTTCCCTTCCTGTGTGTGTCTTCACATTTCTATGTGTGTTTGATGTTCATGCTGCTCTGACACGTCATCCTGTGGAAGTTGGAGACTGTTGAATTCCTCTTCTTTGGGAATGTGACAACTATGGCAACAAGCCACAACTCGTCAACAAGGACCTACATATCTCAGAGACTGAATCTGCTGTTAAACGTAAACCTGACGTGTTCCGACCTGAAAAAACACACAACACCATACAGTGTATAGATACAAACACTATTCTCTCTGTCTCACCCTTTGCCCCCCTCTTGTCTCTTATCCATCTCTGCCTGTAGGTCTGATGTCTGACTTGCCAGAGGAAAGGAATTCTCCAGTGAACACACCTGGTGTCAGTCAGGGATGATGGAGCTCTTCAAATGGGTTGCTTCACAGCCACAGTGCCAAATCCTCAAAAGGTCTAGTTAGTGACATGTTAACCCTTCCTCAATGCCCAGAAAGAAAGGTCTTACAGTTTGGTTACTCTGAATGACTCTTTAAGTGTTAACGGGACAGTTCACCCCAAAATCCAAAATACATACTGCATGTTTCCTCTTACCTGTTGCACTGTTTATCAGTCTGTCTTGTTTGTGTGTGAGTTTAGGAGATATTGGCCATAGACATGCCTGCCATCTCTCCAATATAATGGAATTAAATGGCACTTAGGGTTAGGGTTAGGGTTAAATGGTGCTCAAAGCACCAAAAAAGACATTTGAAAAACTCAAATAGCAACGTTTTCTTTTACATCTTTTCAGAAATCAGTTACTCAAAATAATCCCTGTGGATTATTGCCTTGTTGTAGGCAGTTTCATGTAGGAACTATTTTGTTTTTACCAAACTACACCTGCGAACCACAGCGGAATATTAGCCATCTCAGTGGTGCTAGGTGAGTATACGTATAATATAGTCCCTAAACAAGGTGCCACCCCTAATGAATGTCTGGCCACCCCAACTACCATCCCCGTTTTGTGTCTAGATGAATTGTAAACTAATTAACACACACAATTTAATAATCTGTTATGGTCAGATTTTAGACTAAGTAATAAGCTTAATTCAATGAAAACAAAAAGGAAAAATGTCTGAAGATTGGGAAATAAAACAATGTATTGATTTCTAATCCCACCTTTAAATATTTATTTTGCTTTACTAATGTGCCACAATAATGTAATGTTTTTGAGTTCAAATATCTTCATTTTGGTTATTTTCTAAGAAAATATTAATTGTTTTAAATTAAATCATCGTATTTCTGCCACCCCTTTAAGACTTCAGGCCACCCTGTGGACACCCCATAAACATTTCTTTAGAGCCGCTCCCGTTACAAAGTCTGTGGATTGTCTTGAGTAACCGGGTCATGATTTCTGGACAGACATTCCTGTTGAGTTTTTCTGATCTATGTTTTGACGTTTTTTGAGCTCCACAATCCAAACTACACGGCCGATATATCCAAAACTCAGCAACTCACACTAAAACAATCTGGATGGATAAATAGCACTACAGCACTTACCAAAATCCTCCACCTGCAGTAGTGTATATGGGGTCCATTAATTCATGCTGATTAAACCTAGACTTGCAAACTTCATTTTGTGGTTTCTATGCATATTAGCTATGGGTCTGTGTTGGGTATACTGTTGTTTTTATATTTCGACATGATTCAGTTTAGGCTAATGGAGACTGGATACAGTTAGTTCTATTTTGAAAGTTCTTCTCTGCACTCCACTTCACACATCTCACGCATGTCTCTCCTGTTCAACACTCAACCCTTTCAGCAGTAAGTGGGTGGTGGGTAGTTTTATTATAATTATCATTATAATATTAAGAAATCTGCCCTATTGTTCTGACAGGAGAGTGAAGTTTATTCAGCCACTGCAGGATATGTGCAGGCATGACCCAGTCCAGCAGGTAACAAAGACCTAATTAGAATATAATTTGTCCCTTGAAATAACATTAGTTCAAGGGGAGTGACACCAGCTGTCACACACACATTCACATTCTCCATCAGGCACAAATGAGCAGAGAGCCTCCAGAGTAGAAGCATACCACCAAAAATAATTGTGCTGTTAGATCACAATGGAATCATTCTGATAAAAGTGGTTCCTGCAGAAATGCTTTCATTTCATTTCAAAGGGTTGAAGAGGTGTCCTGTTAGTGGTGCAGTTTGCAGTTTTGGCACTCTTACTGTACTTTGAGCACATCAGTGTTCAGAGTATTAGTGTTATTATGGGGGAGTCCGACACACTTTATGACTCTTTGAATGCTACATTGTTACATTTTCAGTTCATATTTGGTCGGCTTTGAGACTCTATCATGATATTGTTCGGTTATCATCCGTGACAACTATTCAGTGTTAAATGAAAGCAAAAGTTCAACATTTTGGAAACACATTTATTTTGTCTCTTTGGATAGCGTAGCATCCAGAGAGCATTCTGTCCAAAGGTAACATAATCTACCAATCAGCACCTCTAAAGCTCACCAATTAACATGTTCAATTTTGTTTGGGAAGAAAAATAGTCCTGCATATAACTACAGCATAACTACAGCATAATTACAGTATAACTACAACTTACTACACCATAACTACAACATAACTACAACATAACTACAGCATAACTACAACATAACTACAGCATAACTACAACATAACTACAACATAACTACAACATAACTACAGGTACATCTGTAAAGGTGGAACAAGAATATTTCCTATAATGGCACTTAATCTTCCTATACTGCAGTTATGACACTGCTGGTTGCATAGTTGTGTAGAAGGGTGTGTGTGTTTCTGTAAAAAGAGACCACTAGAGGGCTACAGAGTCTTTTTCTGGGCTGAGTTGGATCACTGTCCTGTCTCTGATTGTTGTTGCCAGCCTATAAACTTCAGTCTCATCTTACAGAAGTATACAGTAAAGGTGGACAGTCCTGGATCTCTCCCGTGTTTGGCTACTTGCCATCTCTTCATCCATTCAGTAAATGGGCGCTCAAAACATAGCACCATCAGTAACAATATATAGAATAAACAAAAAATAATGTAAATCGTAATAAATGAAAAAGATAAAACAACAAAAAAACAATAAAACCCATAAATAAATATAAAGAAAATGGAGGAAGACTATGAAAATGCCTTTTAATATGGGAGTTAAATGAAGAGAAACTAAAAGGCAGCCAGTACAGAGATGAAAGGATCGGTGTAATGTGTTCCTGTTTTCTGGTACATGTTACAACCCTGGTGGCTGCATTTAGAATCAGTTGTAGGGAGGAGAAAGACTTTTTGCTTTGTAAATGGCCTTTCAATTTTGTCCTTATCAACTGCTAATCTGATGCCCACTTGAAACTGATGTATTATAGTGTTTTTGGCTCATGAAGAAATGTTTACTTCTTCTATCTTAGAGACGATTAAATATTACAGTAAAGTAGTGGCATAACAAGTTAAGCTGATAAGAAAAGAGCCTGTTTGTATTTGTACAAAGACCCAGATTTAAAGATTTGGCATGACATAAAACAGTTTTTGTGTGTTTGTTAGTAACTCAAAAAGGCTTCAGAGTTGACTTTTTGTAATTTGAATCAATGGCCACTGAAGTATGAAAAAGCAGGCAAACATTCAGGTATTTATATGTTCGAATGGTGGTCCTCCATACATCTCACTGCTGTTTGTTCTTTTAGGTACATGCTTTAAAGATAATTCATTATAGTGCTTACTGTATGATAACTTAAAGACTTCAAAACTATGAATATACACTAACATTCACACAGCCTTGAGTTTCACTATATACTGGTGTAATGACACTGGGAAACCCTTGCCTCAGTGCCCATGTATTAGACAAGTAAAGAACATTGTGGTTTATGCTCCTTTGTCAGCATCAACAGTAATAAAATACTAAATTATTATACAGAATAGTACTGTGCTTTACAGAGAAGTGCAGTGATTGCATAATCTCAGCAATTGAATGTCTTTTAGATTTCCTCATGGTATAATGACATGTCCTGGAGGTTTACAGAGACCTCTGCTGGCAAATTTCCTCACTAACAGGAGAGGAGGAGAGTTTGTGATGAACTATATTAAAGAGCCATGCCACACGGTATAGAGAATAATGGATAATGGATGTTACTGTATATATTGTGCCAAATAAACTGGATCTACATGGATCCCACAGTATAAATGAACTGTGAGCAACATCTATAACAGATGTGTGTGAGTGTTTGCTGCTTGTCACAATGACCTGCTGAATCTCTGCTGGAAGGATCTCTGCAACAATGTCACACTTCTCCTGCTTTGTTGCAGACAGACAACATCATTCATACCTGTGATTCCCAACCAGGGGTACATGTACTCCAGGTTGTACTTCTGCAGATGCCAGGGGGTTTGTGAAAAAAGTGTGGAGTAAATAAACAACAAAAAAAGAAATTACAATTGAAATTAAAATATATACATATATCAACATATTAAGTCAGCTGTAACACCTGAATACCAGAGTGTGTAAATCTAGTAAGGAAGCGAGCAGAGATGTCTATAGTTAGCTAAAAGAAACATATATGGTTGAAATAGCCAAGCGTAATGGATAAATAGTTTAAAAGGTTAGCTGAAAATTGATAAATGGTTGTTCTAGCACAAGTAGTACAAATGGAAAGTTACACAAAACACTGTTCAACTGTATTTACGTTCAAGGCCTCCCTTTCTATCTGTCGAACCCCCCCAACCCTCCCGTTCAGATCGCCTCCTCTGTCCACCTCTCGTCCCTCCCGCCCGCCTCATCACCAGGGGAGCAGGGCTCAGTCGCTCGCCCCCCAACTCGGAACTCACTCCCACCGGACCGAGGAACCTGGACTCTCCACATTCTTCAAATCAAGATTAAAAACTCACCTAATTAGAACTGCCTACCCCACTTAACCATCTACATTGTCTTTCTTATCTGTTTCTTATTTCTTGCTGTTTTTTTTTTTTTTTTTTGTGTTGTACGGTGTCCTCGAGTGCCCAGAGAGGCGCCTCAATAATTTAATGTATTATTATTTATAAAAAGGACATTGTAATATCCACATTTGTATAATCCAGGGGTCAGCAACCTTTATCATCAGAGGAGACCCTTTGACCAGAAAAAGAAAAAGAAAAATCTGTCTGGAGCCATAAAACATATTTGTCTTCTCTTGAATTCCAGAAAGTACCAGTGAACCAGCAGTGTTGGTGGTGAAAGCAAATTCATCTGTCGCTCTATGAAATTCTTTGTAGACTTTTCCTTTGTTGGATTTGGAATCTATACTTAGCTTGGCGAGACTACTGCCTTGAAGTTCGACAAAATATATAGAAAGAGGCACCTGGACGTCACATATGACTCATATTTTAGTTGACTCAATGTTTTTATTTGGTGTGTAATAGCTACACAGTTTTACATTTGGTGAATGTAAGAATCACTTTAGGCCTACAACAATGCTAACTGTAGATGTTATTAATTTCACTGTCACAGGGAGCCACTGGACAGGGGCTAAAGAGCCACATGCAGCTCTGGTTTATTAACATCCAGTTTAAAACCAGTTGAAATGAACACATTTAGAACATGGCTGGTGGTGCTGATGAAGGGGTACTTGAGTTCATCTGCCAGGACTTAGGCAGTAAGTCTGTAAAAAAAGATTGGCAACCACTGATTCATAAAGCCGATAGATGTACTTGTCATGAAAACATGGGTTTAGCCACACTTTGTCAAGGACAGTTCAGATTTATATGGATCGCATTTGAAATTCACTGCAGCTTTAGCTCTGGTTTTCATCTGCCTCCTCCACCTCTGCACTCGCTTCACCAGTCCACCACTTTACATCTATGCCATTTCATACTACTTTTAAGCAACCTTAATGAAACACCAATGTAGGGAGGGGAGGAGTATCTTGACACGTATATCTGAATGTCATTGCTCATTGTGCAGTTTGAATAGTTTAACAGCGCAAACATGATTTCATAACAGAACCTCAAGGTGACATTTGAGCTGGCTTAATGGAAAAACATTATCAGCTTTTTTCAGTATGTAAACAGCGATGACTGGAATAAAAAACAGTGAGTGTGAGCCTGCAGTTGAGTGTCCAACAGCCAGGATGAAGGTGCCTGCTCTGCTCTCTGCAGCCCTGCTGCTGCTGCTGCTTCCTGGGTCTCTGACTGAAAGTAAGCTTCAGAATAATTTATGCAACTTTGTTTCAAATGATTTTCATTATTACTGCATATCAAAAAAAATTCTGCAGGTTTTTTGTCATCTATAATTCAGAAAATGAACCAGTTCCCATTGATGTGGTGGTGGTGAACAGCTTACTAGACACTCCTCCTGTGACCTTCAGCACTCATGTGGTTAAAAGAGGGATTCTACTGGGTGCACTGAAGAGACTCATGGACTCCAATGCAAACTTTAAGTAAGACCATAATAACGTCAATTAACACCTAAGAGACAATCCACAACTTGAAACTATTGAAACTTTATTTGCAAAATCAGTACATAAACTTGATACAAGTCCTGACACCTCACAAAATATGGATTTTTACATTGGAGACCTTTTTTCTCGAGACCATCTGTGTTCAGAACAAATCCTTTAACACACATGAGGTGCTGTGTATTTCTTTGTTTTGTTTTGTGACATCAGGAAAACAGCATAGCTGAACTCTAACCAAACACACTAGAACACTGTTGTCTCGTATTGTGGTTCTTCTCATTTCCATTCAAAGATGTGTTTTGTTTATTCAATTCAATTCAATTTTATTTGTATAGCACCTATTCATAACAGAAGTTATCTCAGGACACTTTTCAAATAGAGCAGGTCTAGACCGAACTCTTTATAACATTATTTACAGAGACCCAACAGTTCTTACCATGAGCAAGCACTTGGCGACGGCGGCAAGAAAAAACTTCCTTTTAATTTAATATTCAAATTGTATATTCTTTCACTGTGATGATTGAGATTCAGCATGCAGAGTGACGCATTATAAAACAAACTAAAATGATAGCATAATAAAAAATCTATAAAAGTTTGTGAAGTATTTTAGTTTGAGATGAGCAAAAAGAAATAAAGTAAAAGGTTCTGACTGTTAAAAGACCAATTAGATATATTATGATATTTAAATGTGAATTTGTTATATGAACACTATATTAAATTATTAATTGCAGAACTCACTTTGCTAAAAATTGTTCATGCAACTAAAGCTGCTTTTCACTCAGATTATCATAAATTATTAAGAGATAAGTGATATAATAAGTGTTTATTATAAATCCTGATTATCACTACACTATTTTTGAGTGTTCACATCTTTCGCAGCCGCTTGGAAAGGGAGGGGGAAGCAAGTGAGTTGCAGTCCGCAACTACACGACTACATCTTACTAAATCCTACACACTGGACCTTTAATATATTTTATTCCATTCTTTGGAAACATTACATCACCATAGCAACATGAAGTTATGCGTGTTTCATTTTGTCCTGACATTCCGTCGGACCTTACACAAATAACATGCATCGAGGTGAAGTTAGAAGTTAGTTTAAAGTTTGTAATGACAAGCTGGACAGAGTTTTTCTCCTACCACCTCCCTGCACCAGGTTCCTGGGTAAACCCTGTTGTTCATCATTTCTTCTTACTTTGTGGACATTAGTTGTTCTTCTGTTTGGTCCTGCAGGTTCACCTACACAGAGAATCCAAACTATGGCCCATACCTGGAAAGCGTGAACGGTTTGGCTGGAAATGATAAAGACCACACGTACTGGGAGCTGTTGGTCAATACTCAAGATGGCAAAATCATAAGACCTAATGTTGGTAAGTCCACCACAAAAATGTCTGTCCATCAGCCTTTTTTGTTGTAATTTTACAGTGAATCAAATGATAATACTCCCTGTGTTGTTTGCAGGTATTGGATGTTACATTCCTAGCGCAAATGAGAAAATCATTCTGAATTTTACAAAGTGGTGAAGATTCAGCAGCCTCCGTACAGAAAGATGGGATTGAAGCCAGTGTTGGAATCGACTGTATGACAAAGTACTTCATTAGTGAGCAATCAAACAACATGCATCTGTGTTTAATTCTGAGTGAATCCCTCTGTGTGTTGATTGTATTGGTTTTTGGGAGATTAACATAAGGCAATAAACAACTGTCAACACTATTGAAGGAAACAGCTGACATTATTGTGATCCCTTTGAAAATGTCCAATGCCAGTTTTTCCAAAATAGCCCTCTTCCTGACATGCTAGCATGACATGGTTGCCGTGGTTGGTACCACTGAATGCAGTGGGTCATCTACTTTCATATGAAACAGTCATCTTATCTCTAACTTTAAAACAGAGCCTGCAGCTACTGCTGCGACTGAAAAACAGTGGAAGAGGTAAGGCAAAGTCACAGCCTCAACCAATAGCAAATGCGTGCTTCAGCACACCCTACGCTGCCCACAGTATGCCTCAGCAGTCATTAGTCACTTGACTGCATTTGCTTTGTGTGAGGAGCTTTAGACAAAAGAAATGACACATTATCTTGAGTCCTTAAAGTCCTACACAGGGTTGGTCTTGGCAAGAAAAGCAGTGTGATTCCTTCAGTTACACATTGCTTACACCTGATTTCTTGGTAGAAGGGATGGTTTTCAGTTACCTTGCACTACTTTTATCGAACTGAAGTGCTGCCAAGCTCTGTGGTGGAAAGCATATTTTGTACAGACTTCTGAAAAGGATACACCCTTTCTCCTTGCTTCTCAAGGAGCATTTTATGAACTGAGATATCCTTCAAGATGGCGTGCTGAGATCAATTACTAGGTCACAGGCAGGAGAATGGAGGAGAGAGGTGACGGGGAGACGAGGATAAACAAACAAATGAGAATAGCCCAGTGTTCTGCCAAGTTTTAAATCTTCCTCATTGTCTACTACAGTTCATGTATCTCTGTATTGTCTCAAAAGGGACACTTTCCAAGACTGTCAGGGACCCAACAGAACAAGGCAAAGGGACAAAGGTGTTAAAAGGTGCTTTAATAAAGTTGAAAAAATAGATAACAAATGTCAAAAGTAGATACAATATAACATAAGAAACTAGAAAAGGAAGCTGTTATGATAAACGGAGGAACCCACAAGCAGAACACAAACTCGGTTGGTTGTGATTATCAAAGACAGGCTTTACTGAGAACCAGCTGATGAAACGGTGACGTGAAGCTCCTGCTGGAAGTGGTGAGATGATAATAGTGCATAAACTGAATAAATACTTTTAGCAACCTATAAATAGGTTTGATGAATTTAATTTAGAGGACAAATATATTGATCATTTTTAGGATAAAACAAACTAGATCACAAATATTTTAATTATATTAAACCTACATGATGTTGCACTTATTACAGTGTGGTTGTGGCCACAATTACCTAATCTTTTTTGTGTAGCTAATTGTACAATATTTGATAGTTTGATGGTGATCTCCACTAGAGGAATAAATATAGTTGATTGTCTAATTTTATTCCCAGGACATCACATACTGATGCTGGGAATGAGACTCAACAATGAACTATATTCAAGTCTCCAACCCAAAGTGTATTTATATCTTTCTTGGCTCTGATTGGTTGTTTTCATTCAGGCCCGGTGGATTATTATTAATGTCATTAGGAGCACTAGGAGGAGCCAGAGGAACTTTTTTTTTTTTTTTTTTTTTTTTTTTTTAGATTATCTGTCTCGTGTACTAATGTCAGGATATAGTGAAAGTTTCAGCAAATATGACTAAAAGTTACCTACTGCAGCTTTAAACAGTGACAAGTGTGGTATATATAGAGATCCAGTGGAAGACTTGATTAGCCCAGTTTAGACCTTTTTTTCTGGAGGACTCACACAAAGCATGTTCAAGTGGATAACAGTAGTATATAATTCAGCTGCCAAAGTATGAAGAAATCTTCATAGGGAAGTTTCAGTTTACCAAGCAGGAAATTTCAGATGAAGGTAGAGTCCCATGACACAATCGTGAAAAACTCAAGACAAAGTAATGCAAACTCTCCAATTGACGGATGGGGCCATGTATTCAGATGCTACTTCTCACTGAACAACAAACACAAATCAATTTTATCTTGATGTCCAGTGGCTGCTGATCCTTTAGTACTTGTTAAAGTTCAGAATGATCTGATCATTTGCACTCGGAATGTAACATCCAATACCTGCACGCAAAATCAAGACAAAACAAGATTAGAAATTGACAGTAAAACTGAGGATGTAAAAAGACAGGGGTTAACTCACCAACATCAGGTCTTATAACTTGGTTGTTTTTTTTCTTGACCAGCAGCTCCCAGTAGGTACGTTGCTCTGTACATCCAGCCAAACCGTTCACACTCTGCAGGTACGGGCCATAGTTTGGATCCTCTGTGTAAGTGAACCTGCAAGGAAAACAGGCAGGAGATGACTTTGTGAAGGACTTTAGCCCTTGTCTTCTCACAGGAATCCACTGATACATTTTCTTCAATTTCATATTGTATGAATGGATTAGTTTATGTTTGTGATGGCACTGATTCACTGAATGTTAGTAGATTAGAAAGGTGTTTTAAAATGGTGCTATCCATTTGTCTCGTAAATCTCCCGCCCAAGTTGCTCTGACGCGAGAACATGACGTAATTGCCTGGCTTGTACCATTTATAGCGTTCCAGTTGTCTTTGGGCATTACGAGTCAGAAAGAACATGGACGCCACCAGTGCAGCAGCTGTGTTGTTATTGCTTGTGGCTCATCTTAACAAGCTCAATGTGAAATAATAATGTTTTTCTACAGAAACACTAGCATTTCAAGTAATTCTGTTATTGCAAGTCTTACATTTCAATAATATTTTGCCATTTTCGCCTATTTCAATTTCAACAAGTGCTGTGGCGTTTGTCTCGAGCCACCAGGGGCCACCAGGGGCCACCAGGGGCAGTGGCAGGCTAGTGTTATTGTTAGCTACATTAGCCTATTTAGCAAACCAGCTCGAAAACAAAACTTTACATTGTATTGCACGTACAACAACACTGTGCAATGCATAAATTGGTGACCGGACTAAAGCAGCAATGTAAACAAGTGTGTAAAATCGACATTAAAACGACCAACGTAGTACAAATACAAAGAAAATACATTTCAATATGGCCCCAGCCATCTTTGTTTTCCGGGTCGTACGTTCGTCCTCTTTTAGCTCGGTGTACTCTGAGGAGCCCCGAGTGGGACGGCTGAAATTACGACCAAAAGGGGTGTGTCTCGGTGAAATGTCGTGAGATAGCTCAGAGATTTACACTTTCCAACTCGGCCGGGGGATTTACGAGACAAATGGATAGCACCATAAGTACAGTCTATTAACCTTAATTTGATCTTATTTGAATTAATGAATTCTGACGGAAATTATGCAGACTTTAAGCAGGGGTTTCAGATAAAATGGTCTGTGTACACTTAAGACTGTTTTGTGAATTAAAAATATAAATACAAAAGGATGAAAAATATTAAAGGCTGCACAAAAGACTCATGAGGACTCTGTCATTTTATTCAAGAAGCCCTTAACGTTGTCACTTTGTAGATAAAATCTGGTTGCTTATATTTAGGATGACCATTGCTGGCCTCCATGGGCCCCCAGATAAAGGTGTGAAATGTTTTTGACTGACCCAGAAAATGGGAAGTTACTGCAGTCTAGCTGTTATCTGATACAAGTGTGATATGATTGTGAAAGATGAATTGTTTGACAATCAAAGAGTAACGCCCAAATACATGAAAGGGCACTTGGAAACACGAAGTGAGTTAACAAGAACAAATGTGTTGCGCCCGTCTCTGAGAGTGAAGAGAGAACCCTGATGGGTGTATTTCCAACTGGTGAAAAAGTGGTTAGTTATGTAAAAGAACTGCATGTTATTGCTGTTGGAGAGTCGGATTAAAGAAACATATAATGAGGTGATCTTACATAAAGCCTGTGTTGGACTCCTGCAGTCTCCTCATTCCACCCAGTAAGATTCCTCTGTAGACCACATGAGTGCTGTAGGTCTGATTGGGAGAGTTTGTTACAGAGTTTGTCACCAGGATGCTAATCGGAGTTTGACCAGAGCCTGAAAGAAGTGAGTCAATGTTAGTACAGGGAATAAAATTAGATTATAAACAGTATCCTATAACTGCATTAATAAAAATAAGTTGTTTAAAACTATTCTCACTTGCAGCTGGAACCTCAGGAAGCAGCAGCAGCAGCAGGGCTGCGGAGAACAGAGCAGGAATCTTCATTCCGACTGCTGGACAGCAGACAACAGCAACAGATAGCTACAGAGACAATAACATCCAAAAATATCACCCTCAAAAATGTCACAAAAGCAACTAAAGAAAGTCAAATTAGTAAATCAACACCATTTAAAGTAATAATAGAAAAGTCTGTTCCAAGATCTTTCCCCTCACACAGACCTGTAAGGGTGCAGGAGATGTTATGGTTGTCGAGATCTGAGTGGAAATCCTTAATCTTTGAGTATCTCCTGCACTGTTGGAAGAAGCTTTTAAAGCTCTCCTCAACACGTAAAATCTTACTGGAACAACCAATCCCCACACATCTGGCAGATAACCAGCTGAGTCACATTACAGTTCCTCATTCCTCTCATTCACAGGACGATAATGAACAATGAACAACAGAAGGAATACATTGAGGTTATATGATCACCTCATGTTCTTCTTTCTGTTTGTTAAAACCACAATAGTTAGTGTGTGTGAGGTCACTGTGAACTGCTTTATAATATGAATGTTAACCCATGTTTTACACTATGCAGCAATGTTTTCATCACAGGTTTTGCAGATGCAGTGGTCTGACTGACTGACTGAAATAGATGAAAGATACAAACAGAATTAATAAACATCACATAAAGTTTGCCAGAGGAAACTACCTTTAGCCTGACTGACAAGTCAGAGGTACTGACCCCCAACTAAGGATGGGAATTGGTAAGTGATTATTGATACAGTACAATTATTTATTCTGCTTATCAGCCTGATTCTTTGTCTGCTATTATCTCTTGGTCTTAACACAGTGTAGAAACAGAAAAGTGTTACGGTAGGTTGAATTTCTTTATGAAATGAGGCCACACTTTAGACCATTAAGGTCATAGTTTTGCAATGTGCAACATCATCTCAACATCTCAGAGGCGTATGATTCAGATGGATCAGTAAATTAGGAACTGGTTGTCAACTGGAACGACACCCGTCCCTACCAACACAAGATGATGTAATTAAATGAGCACCAGTCAAACCTCAAATAATGAAATATAATGTAGAAGTTTATCACTCTGTTTTTCATCATTTCAGTGGAATGAGTGAAGATGAGTGATACTAGAGAAAAAAATAAAGTTGACAAAACAATTATAAACTATATTGTAAATGTTGCTGATAAAGAACAAACCCTCTGCTCCTGAAATGTCAACACTTCCTGTCCTGTCTGTAGCCTCTGACCATGTGCCAACTGTCCAACTACACAAAGACCCACAGTCTATTATCTCACACAACTTCCGTCAGAGCATGCTTTTATCCATTCTGTTTTTCCCCCAGACCAGGATGTGTTTTGATAAAATCCAAACCTCGCATAAAACCAGACTCTCTGAAGATATGAGAGCTATTTCTCAGCTTGCTTCCTTGTGTTACATCAACAGTGTAGGAGTAGCAGTTAGGCTCATTAAAAAAATCAGAAAATAGTGGTACGTCCCTCTTTTGACTTCTATATATCTAATCTATATATCGCTGCAGAACAAAAAGACAACAATGGTGATGGAGTCAGGTGCAGCAAATATTACTGCTTGAAATCAGTTCATCAGTGCATGCAAATATATTTCTAACTGCATTCCAGCCATGGGTGATTTGAAATTCTGTTTTTATTATCATTTTTTCTACAGATAAATCTCCTTTACACTGAATGTTAAGAACACAACAGGTTTTAGGTTATTTCAACAAGTGGTCAGAACCTCCTCCAGTCAGCGCAAGTGTATCAGAGAAGCATTGCTGATTTTAGCTAAGTTACAATAAGACTGATATAGTTCAAGATAAATCAATCAATAAGCAAGGTTTAAAGACGTGATTGTCTACGACCATACTGTACGCAGAACCTCATTCAGTTTTGTTTAGTATCATACAGTATTTTATGTATTTTAAAGGCATACTATGCAGTTTTCCGGTTTTGTCATACAGCTCCCCCTAGAGTCGCTGCGGAGTACTTGTATTTAACGTTAACTGTCGTAAATACCACTCACCAGACATATACGGCTCTGCGCCTGCACCACGGCCTGACCCCTCCCCCTGTATACCGGTACATGTTCAGTAGGATGAAGGGTGGGTCATCGAACAGGCAAAGATAGACTCCGAAGATTTCTGCTGACCAGGTAACGTCTGAGTGAATGCCTGCTAGTGTCTTCCATTGAGGCTGCTTCTTATGTCGCTGATGTATGTGACGTCGCGCCGTAAAGCAATTTGTGATTCTCGCGAGATTTGGCGGGGCGCCACCTTTCAGACTTGCATTGCTGGTTCTACCAACGGCGTCCCTCTCCTGCTTTGCTATCGGGATGATTCGCTGTACTACGAGTTCGTTTACCATCGAAATGACTTAGAAGCTGTTATATTAAGGTAAAAATCTTGCATAGTGTGCCTTTAAGAGACACTTAAAACTTGCAGCTTAGTGCGGATTTATTGCATTTTAAGTCAGATAAAGTAAGGTGTGTAATCAATAACCCTAATCCATATCTTCACTAGTTTGTTGTTATTTTCAGCTCTGAGCAGTAAACATTTACATGTGACTTAAAAGTGCAGTGTGTAACATTTAGGAGGATCTATTGTCAGAAATAGAATATAATATTCATAGGCATGTTTATAGTGTATAATCACCTAAAAATAAGAATCTCTGTGTTTCTGTTACGTTAGAATGAGCTGTTTTAGATGCGGGAAGATGGAAGATAGTATTCACAAGCAGAAAATTATACCTATTGTACAATTTGGTTTTTGGTGAGTTATTTAGGAACCAGCAAAGACAAAATTCATATCGCACAAACTTCAGAACCTCTGACAAGACAGGGGGAGGCTTTTCTGTCATTGCATTTCTGTCATCAGTAAGGTGTTGGACAATGATGAACAACAATGACTAACATCTAAAAGCTAGATGCAGGAAAAGCACTGATTGGACCGAAACAGTGCACTGTTTTTTTGTTTGACCAGAAAATAGAATTAACCTCAGCTAAAAATCAGTTAATGCTGTAAAGGATGCTGTTCTTATTTTATCTTTACAGAAAGCATAATAAAGTATATTAAACAGTCATTCCACAGACTGAGTAATGAGCAGGAAACCATGTAGTTTGTAATGATGAAGTTCTCAAGCCAAGAAATTCCAGGTGAAGGTGAAATCCCATAAAATAATGATCACACATTCAAGACACAGCTGTTCAGTTCCATGTGTCTGCTGTGCTCTGTAAACTCTGTAAAAAGGGCCATGTGTTGAACTATTAATTCTCAATAAACAAAAAAGGACCAATGCATCTTGGCTGAATAATAGCTAGGAAACATATAATGATACACTTGAATCTGATTCTGGTCCCATTTTGATGTCCTGTGGCTGCTGATTCTTCAGTACTTGGTGTATTTCAGGATGATTTGGTCGTTTGCATTGGGAATGTAACATCCGATACCTGCAAACAGAGTATTAAAATAGTTGATTAACAGTGAGAGTAAGAAAAAAAATAAATTTTTGCCTGTATATCTCTGTATAATGACAGATAAACATCCTCTTAGTTGACTCACCAACATCAGGTCTGATGATTGGGTTTTTTGTTGTGTTGACCAGCAGCTCCCAGTAGGTACGGTTCTGTTTACCTCCAGGCAAACCGTTCACACTCTGCAGGAATGGACCATAGTTTGTATCCTCCGTGTAGGTGAACCTGCAAGAACAACAGGAGATAACTTGACGAAGGACTTAGATATGGTATACGGTATGATATACATCAGGCACAAATAAACTCACAAATGTAAGTAAAAGAGACGTAAGAACAAAAGAGAGAAAAAAATTGTGTCACCAGGTCTGCCAACATAAGCAGCTGAGCCCCCAAAAAGGTGGGGCACCCACAATAATATGTATATATATATAACGATTACTGTATGGTAATTGATTATTTTACATTAAAAAGTTCATCTGAACAGATGCCGAGGATTTCTTAACCATTGAATGGTCGTGCCCTGATGTCAACGTAAGCTTTTGGTGAAATTCTTGCATGACAGTTATACACAAAACATGTCAGGATAGAAATTGAATAGTTTTTTAAAGTTTAAAAGACTCCACGTTGAGACGACATCTATGTTGTGGAGATGTTGAAGATGCACATCGAGACAACATCGAAGTTGCAACTTGACATGGGTTCAGTTTTCATTTTGGCTATATTTTTCAAGGTTTAGATGCTTTTCAATGTGTTTTCAACGTTGAAATGTTTGCAGGAAGGTTACAGTTTAGGCCTTAACAAATATTTTATTTGAATGCAACTTACAGTGAGCATAAAAGGAAGCCAAAGTTTCACAGCTAGTCACCTTCCACCTGCTTTATCCAGTTAGCTGCATTTCCTTGTCTTTGTGGTCATGTTCCGCCTAAATCTGCATAGCTTGTGACTTTATGGTGACTCAGACTAAAATGGTGACAGGTTCATCTGCACTTGACCCATGAATGCGCAATTTGATTGACATTAAAACCAAAGTTATTATACTTCACTAAAACTGAATGAAGAACTAGGTGGGAAAAATCATTTTAGTTATCTGAAATGGAAATAAAAATAAAGAAAGACCTAAAACTAACAGAAACAATTCTGTGTACTTAAAAAACTAGGTAAAGAAAATTAAAAATATACAGGAAAGTTTTAAGTTTTAGTCTTTGTTAATTTGGTTAAATTGGTCAACACAACAAGCATGAGGCGTTGCTGCGTATGTTTATTGAGAGTCTGATGTCTACATGATTGTGAGTCAATGTGTTTGTATTGTAATATCTATTCTGAACTTCTTGACTATTGCCCCTGACAAATACGCCCTTTATTATAATAAAAAACAAAAACTAACACTGAAACTAATAAAAACTAAACTCAAATTGAAGCCAAAAATTAAAAACCAAATACAAAATACAGAACTATAATAACTATAAACACAGCCACTGGATAAAAAAAACTGATTTTAGGTCTGTCCTGCGGTGATCTGACTTTTGAAAACTAAAAGATCAAAATGTGGGACATTGTCTCAATATTTGGGACAACAAGGGATACAAATGGTGTGCGGTCCCACATGAAGTGGGACACCTGGTCACCCTAGCTGTACCGTCAGCCTCTACTGTCCACCTTTTCAGCCTGGCTCGGAGCGGCTTTCTGAGCTGACTGAGAAAAGTCAGTCAGTACATTATTATTTGGGTCTAAAGTCCTCACCTGCTCCCTCTTTTTCTTCTCTTTTCTTTTCTGACATGACAATGTATATGAATGCTTCTGTTCAATGGGCTTTGCCATCACTGAGTGAATGTGTGTGAAAGGGTGAATGTGTCACGTAGTGTAAAAGCAATGTTACTCAACTGGAGAAAATTGTTGTAATGTGATTGTGCAAGATTAGTCATCTGACAATCAAAGAAAAGCTTTGAGTAACTCCCAAATGCACAAAAGGCCACTTTGAAACACAAAATGAGCATGTATAGTTCCAACTAGTGAAACGTGAAGCAGAAGGTACTTATTTATATTAAAAGGTTGCATGTTATTACATCATGCTGGTGATTGTGCTTAAAGAAAAGAATGATGTGATGATCTTACGTAAAGTCTTTGGTGGAGTCCTGCAGTCTCCTCAGTCCACCCAGTAAGATTCCTCTGTAAACCACGTAAGTGCTGTATGTCTTGTTAGGGGTGTGTGTTATAGAGTCTGTGACCAGGACACTAATGGGAGTTTTATCAGAGTCTGAAAGAAAAGAGGGTCAAAGTTAGTACAGACGATAAATCAGGAAGTAGGAAAAACAATATGCACTGTCATAGACTGGTGACCTTTCCAGGGGGGACCACAGGGGTCACTGGGTTTTGCTTCAGCCTTGTGTGACACTTAAAACAGGAAAGGAGGATGAAACGGGAAAAGAAAGCCATTACAACTTCTTTTGTTGACCAAAATTTTTAATATTACGAAATATTTAGAAACTGAAGCTGAAGCTTACTTGCAGCTGGAATCCCAGACACCAGCAGCAGCAGCAGCAGGGCTGTAGAGAGCGTCGTCATTCTGACTGCTGGAACAGAAGACATAAAGAAATGTATGACATGACATGTAGTCGATTAATCGATTAGTTGTCAACTATTATAATAATCTGCAACTATTTTGATAATTGATTAATTGTTTTGAGAAAAAGTGCGGATATTTTCTGTTTTTTGAGTCCTCTATGACAGTAAACTGATTATCTTTGGGTTGTAGCCTTGGGAAATAGTGATCAACATTTTTCACAATTTTCTGAGATTTTATTGATCAAACAACTGAAAATTTAAAAAAATAAAAATAAAAAATCAACAGATTAATTGATAATTAAATCATTAGTTGCCACCTTAATGACGTGGTAGGACTCAGTGATGTATCAAGCCTATGTTTAGAGATTTTGAACTAGTTTGATCCACTTAAATTTCATGTCCAACAAACCAAAATATCTCTTAAATATGTCAGAATAAATACATTTTTTTAAACATTTAAAACAGAAAACCTAACCTCCTTCAGCAGCAGTCCGGATTCTTAAGATTTAAATAGAGGCTCCTTCCTCTGTGAGTAGCTCCTGGTCCTGTTGGTAGAACTCCTGGTCTGTAACTTTTTTATATCTGTCCTCTAGACATCACATCTTACTGAAACCACTAGTGATCACACTGCCTACTGTAAACACAATCAACCTTCACATCCTCAAAAGCTCAGAACTCTTAACCTTGAATGTGCTAATACAATATAACACATTGAGCAACACTAAATGTTCATTAACAGTAATCCATTCTAATAAGAGGAAGTAGGTCTTCTCATTCTAATTCTGAGAAAACACCTACGTGCTGGAAGAAGTACTTGTGTCCTTCACTTAAGTTACAACAGTGCAATGTAAAACACCCTATTACAATTCCTGTCATTTTTAATCCACTTCCCATAACTGCAAAATGGAGTTATACATAACAATAGAAGCAAATAAGTCCAACAATATTCAATCAAATTCAATATTCACTCTCCTTTTTGGTCTCCACCAACTCCTGAGAAAAAATATCTTTAGCTGCTTAACACTATCTATCTATCTACTCTATGTTCACCAGCTAGCTGCTAACTTTATCTGTCTGCTGTTTGGTGCTGGCAGGTAGTAGTGCACAGTGGGTTTATCAGAGCATTTTAGCTGCCGCTGCTGGAAATGATGCTGATGAGCACACTCGGGCAGATTGGAAAAATGGGGATGGGAAACAAAAAGGCATTTAGGCACAGTTCACACTTATGCAATTTTAGAATTGTGAAACTTAAAATGAATAGCCCAGGCCTTCATTTGCTTCACTGAACTCAATCTGCCTGTATTTGAAACAGACATCTATATGGGACAGGCCTTTAATTTCTTAACACTCAGCAAAGATTGGAAATACTATCAAACTGTTTATTTAAACCAGTATGAATATTACTTGGATAAAAATTAGGCTATTTAATAACATATCAAGTACAACTCATTCATTTGATACTTTGGTGCACATGGTTTCTGTGCAATGAACTGAAGAACTGAATTGTAGAGAATCTAACTGTACTTGCAAATAGGGCAGTGGGCTTTAAAAGGTTTTATACATTCAAACAACTTCAGTGAAATCCAGACCAGGCTAGATAAGGGGATTTCCATCTCATTGGGACCCTGCTTTTAATTGACCTTTTACAGTGTGTAAACCTCTACTGATGACATTGCATCAGTTAGCAAAAACATAAAATGTATCCAAATATTATTAAAAACACCTTGCTAGCTAATATCTATATCACTCACACTAATAAGGAACTCCTCAGCAGAGCCTAGAAGAATGGGCAGCATGTAAAGATGTTGATGAAAAAGTACACATGTGACAGTTCTATGAGGTAACATCCACCAATAGATTGCAAACACACATCATAACAGTGACCATCAAAAATAGGCAGTGTCAAGCAATATGGCAACCTAATGTATATATAACCTCCTCCTTAATTATCCGTAGTATTCAGTGTCAGATCCTGTGCAGCCGGTGACTGTATGAACGCTCAGACACCCAGGCCTGTGTTGCAGCCACCATCACATACTGCTTCTTTTGGGGACTTTTTTCCTTCTCTCAGGAAGTTAAACACATGCTCAGGTCAACTGAGGTCAAGTGACTGACTTGACCAGTCAAATGTATTTTGTAACATCTCAGCTTGCACAAGACACACTTACACAACAAGCTTTCTAAACATTGGCTGTTAATAAACAGAATTAACAATTAAAAGCATGCATTTGTGTTCATATTGTCTATGCATTTCCAACTCAAATACATATCCAATAACAAACTTTTCAGTTGACTCCATTGCTGACATTTTTTTTAACTCATTCTTTCTAAATGAGCAAGTCCTAAAGGTTACAATGTTCTGATAAGACGTACATCCTTTGGATCCAAACTGCCACACTGTGGCAGCACTGCGCTGTATGGACAGGGTGGGCTTTGTGGTTCTTCTCACAGTTAAAGAGAAAATCAACCATAAAATCAGACATGTGACTCATCACAGGTAAAGCACTGGTATAATCAATAACACTTATGCAGCCTGTTGCATTAAGAAGTCCCTGTGAGAAGCCTCTGACTCATCATGATCCAAAAATATGACCAAGGCACACACTTTAATTAACATCACCTGTGTTTTCATGTCTTCTTCTACAGTACATGGATCATCACCTGGTGAGGGTGCTGACTTTTTGCCTCACAGCTGCAAGCTTTAGCCTCAGTCTTTTTGAACCTAGACAGAGTTGAATTTGTTGTTGTTGTATTACTTTATTAATCCCACAATGGGGAAATTCCCTTGTCACAGCAGCATTTACGTGAAATTAATAAGTACAAACTATGGTAAAGTGGTAAAGCTATGGTATGGTGGTAATTTGAAAACAGAAACTACAACATTGATCAGGTGTTGTAGAGTCTGACAGCGGCAGGGATGAAAGACCTGCAGAACCTCCCCTACTTACACCGTGGGTGTAACAGTCTGCTGCTGAAGGAGCTACTCAGGGACCCCACAGGGTCATGTAGGGGGTGAGAGGTGTTGTCCATGATGGATGTCAGCTTCACTAACATCCTCCTTTCACCCACTTCCTCTATGGAGTCCAGAGGACTGTCCAGGACAGAGCTCGCTCTCCTGATCAGTTTATTGAGTCTCTTCCTGTCCCTGTCCGTACTGCCCCCCCTCCAGCAGACCACAGCATAGAAGATGGCTGAAGCCACCACAGAGTCATAAAAAGTCTTGAGGAGAGCCCTGCTTACTCCGAAGGACCTCAGTCTCCTCAGCAGGTGGAGGCGAATCTGGCCCTTCTTGTAGAGAGCATGGGTGTTGTCAGTCCAGTCCAGTTTGTTATTGAATTTTAATTGAATGCGTCTGGTTCTGTGTGTTCTGGGGAAGTTCATTGTGACGCCCCCTTACATTGTAGACAGTTGAATCCCACCAAACAGTGTTTGCATGTGAGAGTACCTAATGTAATAAAATATAAATGGGTATTCTCTGGCTATGGACACCTGATCCAGCTTATTACTGCCAGTAAAATAAAAAACTCAGATGAGAATTTAGCCTTGATTTTTTTTTTTTAAATATCCCCATGGTAAGTCACAATTACGAGATAAAAAGTCATAGTTATGAGATAAAATATATGAGTTATGAGATACAAAGTCATAATTACAAGATCCAACAGTTGTAAGATAAAAATGAATCAAAACTTCATTTTGAAATTGGCTTCCATATGATCACCTCCTGTCATGTCCTCAAATATTATCAGCGCCAGTTACCTGCTGTTTGAGGCCTTTATAAGAATGTGTGAAAGAAGCACTTCACACACATCCTGGTGGAACTATTACACAACTTAACATAGGTCCAGCGTTGTTAATGCAGAAATGTGACATATTATAGTTTTAATTTTAGAAGGTGATGATGTGCTTCCAATAAGTCAGTGTTGTGTTGCCAGATTATGTCTGCTGCCCTCTAGTGGCACAACAAATAGATAGAACTGGAAATGTACTAATACAAAGTCAAGTCGTTTTACATCTTATAAATTATTATTATAGGCTTTCATTTCTTTTTCTCTTAAGAATTGTTGCTTTGTTTAAATATTTGATTTGTATTTTTCATTAATGCGTACTGTTTTAGTCACCATATTTGTTCAGTGTCACATGCTCTTGTGCTACTTCTATGTTTCTGTGAACTAAAGACAGACACTGTGTTCTATTCTGTACAGGAAAGGTATAGTTTGTCAACTTTATGATCAGAAGAGAATAATTGGCCCAGCGTATGAACATTACAGCTCTGCAGTTCGATCTCGCTCATTGAAACTAATGTTTATTAATATGCAGGATAGGAATCAAATGAGTGAGTAAACATTTGAAAGTGAATTTTGCTGGGAACCTCCTGATGGGAGTGATAAGACACCACGATAAACAAAAAGGAAGGCCTTGGTCGCCTTTAAAAATCCAAAGCAATTATTGGAGAGCAGTGAATCTTTGCAATCTAATAGTGCTCTCGGTGTTCTTTTCGAGCTTTTAAACTAATTCGTGATTGATCGCTAATTATCGGTGACGGGGCCCCTGGAGACAGCCGGGGCCCTCCTCCCTCTTCACAGCGTGAAAGCAGCTATAACTTTCAAACCGTCGACTCTGCGCCTTGTTCCGGCAGCTCAATAGTCTTCAAGGCGTTTGAATAATCATCGTGGCCCTTTTCCCAATAAAGAAGGTGGAGCCTCCCAACAATAAAGCACTGGAAACCCAATATTACCTTGTGGACGGTGCAATAGTCCGGGGCGCAGGTAAATGGCCTTAATGATCAAAAGTTCTTTGGGTGCGTCATAATTTTCAGAGATATGTCCATACCAATCAGCTGTTGCACTTTAATCCTCAAATCCCAGCGTGGAATAACATCAGTTGTACTTCTCATTGTATTGACTGCTGCGTTGAGTCAAAAACGTCGGATTGATAACCTTCTCCTGCGTAATGACAGGAGTGTCTCTTAATAGCGCGCCGATTGATGTGGGCTGTGTGGATGTGAATCACTCTCCGGCCCCACCAACAAAAGCATTAACAAAGAGCGTCATCGACGACAATGTATTTATTTATTTCTTTTCAAGGTCGGATCAATTGAGGTGCAGGTTTTGTGTTGGAAATCTATTCCCCTCAATTGGCGCTGTGCTGCAGGATGCAGACTATAAAAGTGGAGCTGGTGTGGTGATGCTGCTCAGAGCTGCTGTGCTGGTTCAACAGGAGCCCCTCTGAAGGCTTCAGGAGCTCCAGCTGCACTGCATGGGACTGACCCAACCTGAGCAGGTAGGTCATGACCGCTCCTATGGATCATTTTACTTCAGCTGATAAGAGTAATAGTGCATTTGTGATTAGAAGATTAAAGAGCAATTTGCAGGCCATGATAAGGAGCAGTGTGAAGTCATTTAGATTAGCCTGAAGCTAGTAGAAGTGCATGGGTTCTCCAAGGCTAGCTAAATATTACAGCTAGAGGCTGCAACTAATGATGATTTTCATTATAGATTTTCTCGATTAATCGATTTGTTGATTGGTCGGACAAAATGTTGATCAGTGTTTCCCCAAGTCCAAGGTGATGTCCTCAAATGTCTTGTTTTGTTCACAACCCAAAGACGTTCAGTTTACTGTCAAAAGGGACTAAAGAAACCAGACATACCAAATATTTACATTTGAGAAGCTGAAATCAGAGAATT